TGCTTTTTTTTAATAGACTGTATTATAACTCTTTAGAGTATGGATAGAGTAAACATGTAAAGATACTAGAGCTGAATCAGATTCCTCATGTCCTTTGGGGTTAGTTTAGTTCGTATGTAAATACTAAGTAGTTATTATGTGTCCAGTTGTTTCATTTGTGCTCAGTTGTATCATTCTCAACCACTGAATAAATCCTGAATGAGTATGATATTTTTTGTCCTCCTTTTTAGACACTCCAGCCAATGGCATTGGAACAGAAAAGTCACCTCTTGAAGTGGTTAGTTCACATATCACCACTGTTAAGAACTGCAGTCATAGCAGCTACTCTTTAATGTATTCAGTATTAAGTTTTAGTTATACTCTGATTATATTGCTTTATACTGTAAGTCCTTGCATACCGCACAAATAGTGTAAAGTAAATGTTCATGTTTTTGTAATGTGTACTGTTTAGCCAAGTTAGGAGTAGTTATACACCAGGTCCAGGAAATTCAGTTATTCAGTTACTATCGATGTGATGCATCTCTACAGAGCACAGCCTCTAAACCGGCCATCGAGAATAAAGGTGACAAATACAAAAAGGTACAGTCTATCTATAAATGATTAAATTTTTTAAATTTTTTTTTACTACTGTTGCTACTTTTGCATGATCTTTTTAACCTTTTTGATTAAAGGAGACCATAATATGATCCAGCTGTGTAAAAAGAGGTTTTGCTTTTCACGTTTCTTAATAATTCGATGTTTTAACTACCTAGACTTATCTAGACCTCCTCTGGTCACCTAACCATTGAATTTCCATCAGGGTACTGGTTTGTTCTTTTTTTGTTTGTTTGGTTAATGCTCATAGCCTGATGTAAAGACATAATTTCCACACAGTCAGAATAAAGTGATGTAAAAATCGTTGCTGTTGGGTTCTTAACAATGCAGTCAGTGCAGCAATTATAAGCAACAGAGGATTTAGTATGAGGCACAAAGTAAATAACTGTGTTCTGCTAAATATGAAATATCATACAGTTTCATTTGCTGTCATTTGCAGAGCATACCACTGAAAGATGCTGTGAACATGGTTCTGGCTGAACAAGGAGGAGAAAAATCCAGAGGTCATTGTTTTTTGCTTAACTCAGAAATAAACTGTATTATCTTTGTTACATACAGCTTTATTTGTTTAAAGACTCAACCCATTACTGGCCTTTTCACTTGCAGAGGAGAATTTTGTGCCTGACACCCAACCCCAAACTGGGAGTAACATGCAAGTATCATGAAGAACCTCCAGTCTGTTTGCATAGCTGCATAGCCAGTGTTCTGATTGATATCTGTATGTAATGGGTCTATCTGAGTATATTTATGTTTTTATTTAAATTACAGGGCTTCTAATTGGCACAAATTTTCAGTTTCAAAAATGCTGATGATGCCAACACAGAAAACGAGTTCCCTGCCAAGATCGGGTAAACTAAGGCGGCAAAAAATATCTTCAGTATCACTAAAATTATGAAACTGTCATTGTACATTACAGCTAGTAAAATATACAAAAAACAAGCTAGTTAAATGCTAATGCCATTAACAATTATCAGGGTTTTGATTACAGTTATTTTCCTCTCTTTAGAACCTTGTTCAGCTATGCTGCGTCCTCAGGAGCGCTCCTTATCATCGAAGTGGTCAGTTTCAGCCTCGAGCTCAGTCTGCCAAAAGCAACTGCATATCCAGCTCAGCGAGCGACTGCAGCAGGTCCTTAAGGAGAGGAACAAAGACTCTCCACCTCCTGAAGCATCTGATATCAGAAGGGACTCGAATGAAACAAATGCAGAAGACCAGTATGTTTCCTCATTATGTACTTCCAAGCCGCAACATGCCCAGAGCAATGGCCGTGCAAAAAGGA